GTGTGGTGTGTGTGTGTGTGTGTGTGTGTGTGTGTGTGTGTGTGTGTGTGTGTGTGTGTGTGTGTGTGTGTGTGTGTGTGTGTGTGTGTGTGTGTGTGTGGAGATGCCCTGCGTGTGTGGTGTCGTGTGTTGTACATGTTCTTGCGTGGATGGACTCACATTGCCTGGCTTTGTGAATTGCGTTGTGACCGTTGCGGCTTGCAGAACGCCACGCTCGTGCACGTCGTCACCGCGTCACTGGGAAGAGGCGTGACTATCGCAGCCGAACCGAGAGACTAAGAGACTTCATCAGCTCGCAAAGAGAAGCAGGCGGGAAAGGATATCACGTGCCCGTGTTGTGTTGTTGTCGGGTGAAGCAGCAGCTATGAGTGACATGAAGCCTTCGGCGATGCGCTCTGCGCGATCCGCAACCGTATCCAGCGCAAACGTAGGTTTGGTTGTGTGTGTGTGTGTGTGTGTGTGTGTGTGTGTGTGTGTGTGTGTGTGTGTGTGTGTGTGTGTACGTGTGTGTGTGTGTACGTGTGTGTGTGTGCGCGCGCGTATGTGTGTGTGTGTGTGTGTACGTGTGTGTTTGTGTACAGCAGATGGAGCGCCACCGTCAGGCGTGTGCATCGATGTGTGTTCGCGAGTTTGATGCTCTTCTCACGCTTCTCACGCTTCACTTCCCCTTCCACGACCGCTTTTGTTTGGATGCGCAGCCGTTGAGACATCGCAACCCGCACATCACGGAAACAATCCGCGAGCGGTTCAATGCACTTGATCTCGAAGTTCTCCTGCATGAGTTCCGGGCCGTCGCAGACTCACAGGTGTGTGTGTGTGTGTATGTGTGTATGTGTGTGTGTGTGTGTGTGCGAGTGCGCATGTGTGTGTGTTGGCAATGGCAGTCCTAGCATCACATGAACGCACATACCTTCCTTTATCCCCAACCCACACACTCATACGCACACACACACACACACACACGCACACACACACACACTCACACTCACACATGTGCAGGGGGACGAGGAAGAGGAAGCGCCATCGGAGGTGGCGGCTGATCCGGAGTCTGAGGCAAAGTGGCTCTCTGAGACGGGATTCGATAGTCTTGCACAGAAGTTCGAGTCAGGGAAACACATCACAGGTTCGTGTGTAGGTGGCGGGCGGGGGGAGAGAGGAAAGGAAGGAAGGAAGGGGGTTCGTTCGGTCATTCTCAACTACTTTGTGCGTGTATGTGGACGCAGTATGTGCTGCCTTGGTGTTGGTGCGCTATCACACACACACACACACTCACACACACACACACACTCACACACACACACACACACACACACGCACACACACACACACACACACACACACACACACGCCATCACGTATCGCCAAATTGATCCACCCACCCTCTCCATGCCATCCTCCGACCAGATGCGGACATTGAGGCGCAGATGGCCGGGTTCAGTGCACAGCAGAAGAGGGCCGTCAAGGCGCGCGCACAGCTCCTGAACGAGTACGCGCTGTGGTGGTGGTGGTGTGAGAGAGAGTGTGTGTGCGTGTGTGCGTATGTGTGCGTGTGTGTGTGTGTGTGCGTGCTTGCGTGGCGTGTGTGTGTGTATGTGTTGTGTGTGTGTGTGTGTGCGTGCGTGTGTGGCGTGTGTGTGTGTGTGTGTGTGTGTGTGTGTGTGTGTGTGTGTGTGTGCGTGTGCCTGTGGACATCAACTAACGCACTCTTCCCCCGCCTGTTGCTACCGTCATTCACCACCACCACCACCATCACCACCATCACCACCATCACCATCGTTGTGGCCACCACCATGCATCACCAGGACGCTCTCTATGCGCGGGATCAAGAAGCCCTCAAAGCCATCGGCAAAGGACATCTTTGCAAACCCGCCCCAGCAGGAGGTACAGGCAATGGTGCGCATGTGTGTCTGTGTGTGTGTGCGAGTTTAGATTCGTTCGCGGTCCTCCAACAACAACCTCATCAACGCTCTCCTCATCACCAAACACCATTCTCACCTCCCCCACCACACACACACACACACACACACACACACACACACACACACACACACACACACACACACACACACACACACACACACACACACACACAACTTCAAACCACCATCCCCGCCGCCAATCAGGAGATGCGGCAGCGGCTGCTGTCAACGAAAGTCGATGTTCCGACAATGTTCTACGACCTCAGCGAGGAGGACCAGAAGCAGGTGCGTATGTCATGATGATGATAATGGGTGGTGATGGTGGTGGTGGTGGTGTCCGTCGTTGTGGTGATGCTGAGCGGTGATGGTGGTGGCGGCGGTGTTTGAGTTCGTTGGTGACGTCGAGGAAGTGCACACACGAACAGATGTCTCGATGTGTACATGTCTTCGTTGGTACAGGTGAATCATGATATTCTAAGGAACACATGATGATCGTAGCCACACGTCTGTTATTGTCCACCGACCATACGAGCGCACTCAGCGACAACACGCAGTGTCAAAGCTCGATTGTCGCGTGATGAACTAAATCTGAATGA